TGGTCTTCATATTTTCCTATATTATTTTGCTAACAGCTTTAGAGCATATTATTACTCTTATTACCACCTAAGACTAACAGATAACTCATTTATGACCTACATCCATCCCAAGATCAAGGGAGTACATTACGAAACTACCAGATCTTGAATACGAACTTGAGTCCTAGTTCCATCAAGGTAATTTAAGGACTTCTAGCTAGTCAAAATGTATATTCGAATTTTCGGGCCTGACTTCCTCTTATACAAACTTTTACAATGATACATATGTTTCATAGATAAGTAGGAAAAAATGGTTTTGAAGAATCCCTCAATAGGCTTATTTTAGCGAAACTTTCAATTATGTTTGAACAAGCTAGTGAATGGGCTTGTAAATCTGCCTCAACGGAAGCGAAAGGAGGATTGCCTTGGAGTTGTTGCTAAATATTTTTGCGAATTAGGCATCGGCACTCAGTCTCACCACCCCGATGAATCCGTGTAGAGCTTTCGGCCGTCATGTGACATGCACCATCAGAGCGGCACACCATGCTTTACGATAATTAAACAAGTCTTGTGAAAAGAAAGGTGGCTAGCTGCAATCCTACCTACCCAGCCCCAGCTTATCAATTTAATGATTCGTTTGGCTGTCCTATGCACCTATGTGACCGACAACAGCGCTCAGCCTAATTCACTTGAGTTTTTGATCCTGTAATGCTTACGCGTATTTGGCAGTGGCTTGATCTCTTCTCCACAATATGTTCGTATTTCCAGAGAGACCAGCTGAGATCATCTTGTCCGTTATAGTCATGATACTTTTCAGCGTCGGACAATCAACTTAACAAATTCCCAGGTTTTACTCCAGTATCGTAGTCGGAATCGTAATTTAGTCATGTCATTTTTAGTACCAAGCAACAACTCGTCAAAAAGACGGGTTAAGGATGGGTTTCACTTCCCTATTTGACGAGTTGTAATTTGGTGCCAAGAATGGGAAGGCTAGCTGATAACGCTCACCACGATGCTAACGAAACGTCTGAGAATGTACCAAGTACACTCCGTACAAGGTGCATTCATAACCATGAGACCTTGACTAAGTCACGAAAGAGAGCAGTTTCCGCTTTTATCTTACAGATTCGTTCTTTCTATCCCGGATGCTGGCCATTTTGTTGATTTCGACACCTTAGTCTTCCGCTTATATAATCTCTATATTCTGCTAGAGTTTGGCTTTATAATAGTATATCTGGTGTTTTTGTGTGGGACATTTATTCAGAAAATTATGATTTTTGGACCCCCAAACCTTTGCTTGATGTTTTATGCTTGGATAATCTATTATGTATAGGTCGGCAGGTCTCATTCACAAAAACACTACTGCATAAATACAAAACCTTGTAATAGCCATATTAGGAAAGTCTCAAAAAGTCCCATAATAGATGGCATTACAGAGGAATGTGTTATTTTCTCCTTATACGTTGTCCTTACGTCCATTTTCCCAGTAATTCGAATATATTTTCAAGAGCTGATGTTATGGTAGCATCAAAACCCTATTTGAGTGGCCCATTCATCCATTTTGCTCCAATTAGATGCTTCCCTCAATCCTCTTTGCTAATATTGAAAATAATTTTTTGTTGGTAATTGTTCCTAACTAAAATTTTCCCTACTCCCCTCAACTCCTGGTCCCTATTATTCACTTCTGCAAGGCTCAGACTCTTTATTACAATGACTCATTGTAATAAGAAATGCAAGCCTTCATTCGTGGGTTTCCCATGCGCATTACTCAATTTGTTTGTATCCACTATGATATCTAGTAAGGGGAAACTACCATCTCTTGCCTATTTATTTTACGACAATATATAGCAAGTGACTTTCCTGGAGTAATAGTTTTTTTCTCAGAATACATATATTTTGGTGTAGTTCTGCTCTATTTGTGTATGTATCTATGTGTCCATGTATATATTTCTGCATTTATGTGCATATATATGTATCAAAAATTCCATTGCTATTAGAGCCTTGCGAGCAAGTCAATGGTCAAAGTTTATTCTTCATGATTATTTGGATATTTTACTTTTTTAGAGAGATGTAATACGTTTTCTTGTTGTCGCTTAATGTTGACCTTTCACAAAACTTTATTTAATTTTAATCGAAGGTATGAAGGCCAAGATAGTGTGGCCTATTATGTGGTCGCAGTCTCCTTGTTATGTATACGTTATTTGACCTTGTTTTCGCAAATTGGTCAAATTGGCAGGAAGACTTAGAGGAACGCACCTTGTCCAGAGTCCATTGTATGCATGATAGTCTCCAGAGTCGGATCGTGGACTTGGTGCATTCACAGACGTTTCGCCGGCATCGTCAGTGAGTCCTACCAGTCTTAGCACCATA